TTGGACAATAATGATGATCCAGAATCAACAAAAAATGTTGATCCAGGAACATGTCTTATTTGGCAAAATCAAGGCGACTGTACATATATACACACAGGTTAATGCAAATGTGACTACTGATTTTAAAAATAGTGCAACACATGTATACAAACACATCATGGTATGTAGGTAATGCAACTTTGAGGATAAAGCATCAAATTATAATTATTCCATTATGGTAGGGAAGTGTATTTTACCACATAGTAGGAAACCCTTTAAAAGTAATCTTAATATAAAACTTTAAGTGAGGTATGAGTGGGGTTCACAGGGACCTTATATCGAGACTATTTAAAACAACGGTGTGTTTATTGAATGCATGGACAAATACAAGCAGAACACAGTGTTCAGACAGTTAGACGTTTAAATAGGACAAAATAATGCCTTGAAACATTCTTTTTTCTTCACACTTAACGTCCTCCTCATGCAGTTCATGCTTTTGTCGTGAAATGCGTTTTGCCCATTGCCCACATACTAAAATATATATTAAGAGAGTGAGATTTGACAGGTGAGAACAGGATCAACTCCACAAATTAAAGATGATTTAGTTTCCTCATGCGCACGTGTCGGTAGATGAGATGCTTCACGCGCCGTTGGCCAATAATAAATGAAAGAAGCACGCGAGCTTACCTGTGAATGTCCCTGGTACATATTCAGTCCAAGTGCTGAAAACACCGGCGTGTGTGTTGGTACACCACTACTGTAAATTGTCAATGAGGAGGAGAAAGAGGAGCGGAGCTATCCTGAGACGTTTTCATGCTCCAGCTGCGTCCACGTGAGGATTCCTCTTACAGGACCTTTCACGAGACCGTGCATCCGAGTTTCTGACGTTCATATCACGCCGTGAGCTTCGAGGTAGAGGGTTCACTGCGTGATACGGCTAAAGCAGTGTGGTCTTCCTCTTTTTTCCTCGGGTTATTCCACTCCTTAGTGGAAATGTTCGAGTCCCAGCCCACTTGAGCACGGACACGCCTCATTGAGCAGTATGCCACCTCCCATGAATAACATCAACGGTCAAGATGTACTGCTGCTACTGCTACTGCTGCTGCTGCTGCCGGAGGGCGTCAGTGCAATACTCTACACTTTTATTAATTTACTTTATACTGCTGAGTAATAAGAGGACATGCGCTATGTTAATCTAATGATGTTGGTAACATTTTACAGTGTTAAACATATTTAGTTACATAGGTACAAAATATAATTTCATTTATTACAAGATTAATAATGCCATGCCTTACGTTGGCAACCTCCACACTCTTTAGCTTGGTCACACTTTGATTCCTTCCTTGATGGTCGCTGTTGGTGGGTGCATGAGGAAAATTTAGTGTGTTGCACTGTATTCCTATTGATGTATGTCTGTATAACTATTTTCTGTAACACTTAATAAAAATTGATCAAAAAAAGATTAATAATACCAACAAAGAGTATTAATACGAAGTCCAACAACATTTTATTTTATTTTATTTATTTGTTTAGTCATTTAGCAGACGCTTTTATCCAAAGCGACTTACAAATGAGGACAACAGAAGCAATCAATTGTATACAAAATAAGAAGATATTAGTAAAGTACTGTTCTTTGTCATTTAGTTCTTGTTTAAATCACATTGTAGCAATACAGTTTAACATACTGAACTCTGCTTACAGTGCTTTGTGATTTAAGGCACATAAAAATCCCTATTTTTAGGGATATTATTATTATTATTTTCATGCATTGTGTTTTTTTGATTAACCACTATTCTCGAAGATTCTCACTGTGTTTTATGTAAATTAACATAATTCAAAGACCACTAACAAATGATTATATATAGAGCATATAGCCTATGCCACCTCTCTTAAATAACAACAACACTCAAGATGAGCCGCTGCTGTGCCAGTACACTACTGTACACTTTTTATTAATGAACTTTATACTGCTGAATGATAAGAGGGCTTCCGATAAGAGAGAGATACATTTTAATTATTTTATTCTTTCATTCACTTATTTTGTATTACTGTAATGGAAAATAGGGGTAATGGAAATAGGTTCTTTGTTCCTTCCATCACTGTCTCATTGGAGGCATTCATTATGATTGATTGTCTCTTGTTCAGTGTAGCAGTCCAAGCTTAATCACAAGTGAGACACACAATGACCTATTCACTAGAAGTCATCCACTCTACGCTGTATGTCAGCTTCAAATAATGAGCTGATATGTAATCAAATATTTCCCCTCCCTGACTCAAGACTAGCAAATGAGGTCAGGCCATTGAAATCCTCAGTAACTGCAAACTTCAAGTCTTCTTTCCTTCCAATTTATTTTTCAGGAAT